CCTCTCCCCTACCCGCACCCCCGCCAATCGCAAAACCCAACCAAGACGAGCACCCGAAGAGAGAAAAGGAAGCACAGCCCAGGTTACCATTCTTGCAAGCAGTACCCTCTCCCTCTCACCGGGGTCGTGAAAAGCACGTCGTCGTGGTCAACAACGAGTAGCCTTGAAAGCCAAAGTTGGTTCCAACGCCCCCCCCCCCCGCCCGCAAGCGCATACCCGCGTGCGGTTGTCGGACTTGATCGCCGATCAAAAACAGGAAAAGGGGCGTTGGTTTCGCTGCAGCCCCGACCGAAACAACCCCCCGGCCTTCTCGCTACAATTACCTTCTTTGTACAGGAAACACGTCGACCAAAAAAAGGTCCCGACATTTCGAGATGCTGATAAAAGTCGCCCACCACAGGGCGCCGTGGGAACCGCTACCTCGTGCAGGTGCAGCGCACACAGCACCGCGCTTTCGCGCCGCGAATCAAACCTGCGCCCGTTTTATGCCTACTACTACCAGTGGGTCTGCTGTTGCGGGCCTGCCCCTTGACATGGATGGCTGGTCGTGCCACCGACACCCAGCAAAGGCGACCCCTTACAAGGCGACTCGTTAGCTTGGCCATCCGGTGGAAAACTCAGAAGAGCTTGAACGACCTTCCCTCTAGAGAAATCTATCTATGTTGAACGGACAAACCAAGAGAGGTCAATCGACGGAATGTGTGGGGGTGTCGCTGGCGATCGTCCGCTCGCCCGCCGAAAACGGTCAATCCCGAGAATCAATAACCTGGGACAAAAACCTGGGACAATCGGCCTCCGTAGGAGGAGCAAGGGTCTCCAAACTTTGGCAAACGACTTCCATCAGCAAGGCATCAAATTGCCCTTCAACATGTTGAAATGAATCTACTTGGAAGAAGTAGGTGGCCGGCGCGGTGGTGGGCACACGGTTTCCTCAAACTGACGAAATAGGAATGAGGGGGGCCGGTGACGGGAGCCCGGTCACGGGTGTGAACTGTACCCCGTGGTACGGTACTAGCTTCTCAGAAGCAAATCTTCTCTGCAAAGCCTCGAAACGAGCGCGCGCACACACACAAACACTCCGTCTTCCGCAACATCATACCTTTCAGCTTTCTCGCAAACGGTGGGTCGAAAATTAACGCTCTTCACAGCCCCCCAGGTATTCCCACCCACACCTCAGCACCATTCTCCGCTCTACAACAGCAACGACCCAACAACACAACACATTTAACTTTCACTACACAGCGATGCCCACACAATTTTAGCACCAAAACGTTGATGTCGCGGCAAATCCAATCAATTCGTTCGGGGGGAAGAAGAGTCTGCTCCCGCAACAAGCGCGTCGAGAGATCCCGAGGGGAATTCTTTGCTGGCCTCTCGAATCTCTCTGCTCGGCTGCCTGTTCTCTCGCGCCCCGAATTCCCACTCCCATTCTTCGCCTTCCTCTCCCTCTTCTTCCCCAAGACCTTCCCCGTCGTCTTCCCCCATGTCGTCGAAAAATTCGGCTCCCACTTGCGTCGAAGCGTCGGCTTCATCATCATCATCATCATCATCATCATCATCATCATATGTCTTCACCGACTCGCGCGTTCCGGCCGCCGCCGTCGGCAGTGCCGGCGAAAACGCGGGCGCCAGCAGCGGAGCCGGGCTCCCATCCTCCCCGGCCATCCTCGCGGCGAGCGCCTCCTCCGGAATCTCGGAGAACCCCTTCACGTTGTTACCGGCTTCGTCGTGATCGCCACCGCCGCCGTCCTTGTCCTGGCTCACGTCTGCCCGAGTTGCACCTTCCGTAGTGGGCGTCAAGCCCCCGCTCACCGCGGCGCCGCCGCGGCCCGCTACGGCCGCCACCGCTGCCCCGTGCCCCCGTTCCTGATCTTCGTATCCCCCGTCCCTCTGCAGCTCCGTGCCTGTTGCTCCGCCTTGTCCGACCAGAGCGTCACCGCTGCTACCACCGTCGGGGTCAGCGGTGTCACGAGCACCGGAATCCTCTACCTCCGCACCGTCCGACCGATTTTCCACCTCTTCCCCTGCCGCAGCAGAAGGGGAGGACGTTGTCGCAACGGCTGCCGCTTCCTCTTCTCCCGCCGCTACTGCCGAAGCGGCGGTTGCGTCGCCCTCGTTCGCGCTCGCGACGTTCATGACCAAGGCTTCCGCCGCCGCAGCAGGCGGCAGGAAGGGGAGCTTGACCACGGTGGCCGTGATGTCGTCGCGGTAGTCGCCGACCATGTCGGACCATCTCCGGTTAGCCATCTCCATCAGACCCTTGCAGGCTCCCGCCGCGTCTTCTCCCCTGTCGAAAAAGCCCTGCACGATCTCCGACGCCTATCGAGAGCCCGCATGACACGAAGCAAGAAACAATCATCGGTTGGGGTGGGGGGGGGGAGGGGGGGTTGAGGGCAGTAGCATGAAAAATACCATTGATCTGGGCTGCTTATTCAAGACGAAGTTTGAGATCCAAGGGGTCATCTCTAGGGAAAAGGTAAAAAGCAAGCCCATCTCGCGCCTGCTTTCCTTGTCCTCGAAACTATCGCGCGGGCTAAAGTTTCTTGGGTGCACTGTACTCTATGCAGGCTAACGTGGCAACGGGCTCTCGATGGGACACAGCAACAAGGGAGAGCTACCCGTAAACATATACCGGAGGGTGTGGAGTGGCGCCTACACTAGAGGATACGCAAACTACTCGCCTCCTGATTATCGATGAACTCCCAGACTCCGTCGCTGGCAAGCACGAGGAACTCGTCTTCGGGCTGGAGGACGTACTCTGTTACCTCCGGCAGGGCGATGACGCCAACCTGAACACAGAAAACCATTCACAAATGAAAACAATCGCCACTGGTGGTTTTCCCACGCAACCAACTGTACAGACGGGTGCTACATGTCCTCAATATACACGTGCTGTCCTTCCCCTAGGTCAGAAACAACCAGACGCGGTGTAGACATCGCTCTGCCAAATAGATTCGAGCCGGCGGTCCGGTACTAGCGTAGCGGTAACCTTGTAACAACCCCCGGCGACTTCACGGCGCTAAATCCCGCTATCCGGAGGGGAAGAGACAAGACCTGCGTGTCGCATGTGTGTCGCACAGCCAACAGAAAAGGACAGCAGCGCCAACACTATACGCTTGTTCGGAATAATAATAAAAAATCTTGGGGGGGACATCTCTCCTACAACGCCTTACCAAAAAACCAAAAAACCAAAAAACAAAAAAACAAACAAAGGCACAGGCATGGCGCACGCCGAAAAAAAAAAACTGCACAATTGGTAACGTCGAGCCCACTAAAACTCGTACGGTGCTATTCCATTCCCCAATGGCCCGCGCATCAACCGAATATCGAAAGGTGGAGAATTTCTTTTTTTGTTCTTTCAGAATACATGGCACGAGAGAGAAAAAACAATCTCTTACCCCTCGCAAATAAAACAACTCACCCTCTTGACGGCCAGGTCGCCGATCGACCTCGCCATGGCCAGCCCGACCAGCGTCTTCGTCGCGTCCAACCAGACCTGGAAGATGCGCAAGGTTTATACAATACAACGGATTGGCTCGTGAGGGTGACAACGGATTGGTTCGTGAGGGTGACAACGGAGTAGTTTAAGGAATATCGAGGAGAGACAAAACAATCATATGATCGTGCGTGGGTAAGGACAAGACTCCACAGAACACACATGTTGGTACTTTCCCCCCTCCAAGACTGGTGCCCTCTCGCTGACCACATTTCTGCGTGGTCGACAGCATCAGACAGACAACGCACACGGACGCGCGCGCGTAGCAAAACGAGGAACACCAAAAACGGGGCCTTTTCAAGCCTCCAGCGCACAGCGTGCCCCTCTTCGTACATAAAAACGCATTCCAGAAAACCAAGGTTCCTGAAGCCAAGCTAACATCTCTACACGAGCGTATAGCCCTCTCCTTGGGCATGCGGGACACACCCTACAAGTAAATATTCCTGAAATCAAGGTCCCTGATATCGACATCTCTACACACCCTTGCTGATGCGCCCGCCTCTTCGGGGTCGCTCACGAACCCGCCCATGGCCTCGATACGCTCCCGCTCTCCGGGAGAGTCGGGGTTCTGTGAGGCCGGCGGCAAGCCGCGGAACAAAACGCCAGGGAGGGAAAGGAGGGGCGGCAGAAAACACCGTATCGGACAGTCGTGAGAGGGGTACAAACGAGACAAAGCGCACGCATGACGGCATTGCTACTTGCAAAGGGGCATGGGAAGCATGCGCCGGGAGTATCACATCCGCACACATACCGCAACACATGTTAGGCATGACATCAACACACAGCGCACGCAACAACAATACATGCCACTTGCACATAAAAAAGAAACACAAGTTTTTCAAACGGGTCCTACCAAAGGGAGGGGGAAAGAGTTGGGAAAGTGGTGATTTTCTGGAGTTCGCTGAAGTACATACCATTTACCAGTTATTTCTACGGCGACGACATGCCACAAAAAACGTTCGTGTCACCGACAGACCTGATCGCGTGTCAGCCCGCGCGCAACGACCAAGCCATCCTCCCCCCTCCCGGCCACGAGCGCCCGCGAGTCGCCAGCGTTGGCGACCCACACCCTCGGCCCTCTCACCAGAGCCACCACCGCCGTGCAGCCGCCGAAAACGGCGTTGATGCCGGACTTCGGCAGGGAAGAGTTGATGCCCAAAAACACGTCCTCCAATGCGCTGCGAAAGGGTAGAATCGGGAATAGGGGGTAGCCGAACAATAGTGAGAACGGGTAGGGAGGCTCTAGAGTTGTATTATGTGTCTTGGTGTCGAATATCGAGGGGCGGGACGGGGGAGGTGCGATATTCTTCACGTCATAAATGCCGTAGCCTTCGGATCGTTGGCGGCAAGAGAGTGGAAAGGGAGGGGGGTTGTACACACAGTCAAGGGCTCAAGATCAAACCAACGCGTTAGCCTTCAAAAGAGGGAGCACGGAACGGGATCGGAGGTGGGCAGGACTGGGGTTATGGGCCAATACCGGGGGGGGGGGGGGTACGAAATCCTTGACACGTTGATCAGGGGGGTCACGCAGATACGCCCCCTCCCGGTCCCTGGAAATAGAACANGGGGGGGGGGGGGGGGAGGTACGAAATCCTTGACACGTTGATCAGGGGGGTCACGCAGATACGCCCCCTCCCGGTCCCTGGAAATAGAACACAAAAGGAATTAGTGTAGATTCCCCATTAGAGCGTGAACGTCAGTATTCCCTAGGGTTCGGGGGGGGGGGCTATCTTCTGCGTGATCCCCCCCAGGATGGGGTTTAG